AAAATCAGTACTTGACAGAACACGACTTGCACTAGCAAGCAAGGCAGAGTCGTACCATCAACTGATGCAGCCATCTGCAGAGTATCTTGGTTCAAGGCTTGGGGTGGATGAATGGGCAGTATGTTACTCTTAACAATCTAAACTTTCATTGAATTTTGTTTCATACAACATTATCTTAAAGATAACTTCTATGATCACTTCATGTAGGTAAATATATTTACTGAAGAAATCATCCGTGCTGGATCTGCTGCTTCATTATCCTCCCTTCTTAATCGACTCGATCCTGTTCTTCGACAAACTGCTCATTTGGGAAGGTTGATAAATACCTGTTAGAATTTTAAAAGCAGTTTGCAGTTATTCATTTAGAGGCAATGGTCTAAATACATTCTGATCAATTTTAGTGTCAAGAAACGTTAGCACTACTAATTTTCTTTCGTCTCTTAAAGAAGAATACCTTTTGCTCTTATCATCTGATTTGGGTAACTTAATGTTACTTTTATGTTCTGAAACAGTTGGCAGGTTATCAGCCCAGTTGAAGCTATAGGATATGTAGTAGTAGTGAATGAGTTGCTTTCCGTTCAGAATAAATCTTATTCAAAACCAACAATTTTGGTGGCAAAATCTGTTAAAGGGGAGGAAGAAATTCCTGATGGTGTCGTCGCTGTGCTGACACCGGACATGCCTGATGTTTTGTCTCATGTTTCTGTTCGGGCAAGAAATAGTAAGGTAGTATTACTACGTTTTTTTGAGCCCCTAAGAGTGATTGTCACATAATAAAAATTGCAATGACATTCAAAAAACATGTTCTTTCTTGGTAGGTTTGCTTTGCTACATGCTTTGATCCCAACATATTGGCTGGGATTGAGGCAAATGATGGGAAGTTATTGCAGTTGAAACCTACATCTGCAGATGTAGTTTATAGGTAACTTAATTAAGTTATAATTAAGAAATAACTTTGTCCAACGTAATAGTGCATATGAAATTGTATTTCTTATTGCACAGTGTTTCTAATATTTTTCACATTCATTACAAAATGCAAATTCCAAGCTCCACAAAATTTGACATTTTTGCATGGTCTCCTTTTTCAATTTATCTACAGAGAGGTGAAAGAGGATGAGCTAACAAGTTCAACTAACTTGAGTGAGGTAGCGTCGTCCCCATCCTTAACCTTGATTAGAAAGCAGTTTGCTGGTAGATATGCAATATCGTCCGAAGAATTCACTAGTGAACTGGTGAGCGTTGCTGTGTCACTTTAATTTACATTTGAGTAGTTTCTTTGTTTCTTATTCCAGTTTCCTTTTAGACTGAGACGTGCAGAATTATTATGGGATTAAAACTGCTGCACAGAATTCCATCATAAAGCTAAGGCTTACTTAATGTACAAACTTTTATTTGTCTAGGTTGGAGCCAAATCGCGCAATATCGCATATCTCAAAGGAAAATTACCATCTTGGGTTAAGATTCCCACCTCAGTCGCTCTGCCATTTGGTGTCTTCGAAAAAGTCCTTTCAGATAATGTCAATAAGGTTTTTCTCATTTTATCAATACACTGTTGTTCAATTACAGTTCAACATCATCATGCATTAGACATTGCCAAAGTTAGATAGAAGAAACATTCTCATGTATGTTGTCTTGAATGATTCAATGTGCCTCTATATGCAACTCCATCAGAAAATTTTAAAATGTGATCAATTGTTCTTTAGAAACATGGAAATATGAGTATATTGTACTCCTTCCACCCCACAAAAATAGGCTTGTTTCCATTTTCACAGATTAAGAAAATGTAATTAATATAATTGTAAATATAAGCTTTTCTTAAATTTTTCCTAATATACCCCCATATTAAATAATGGTTTAAATAGGAGTATTTCATATTTGTTGATAACAAGGCATATTGAATAGAGGTATATTAGAAAACTAAGAAATCAATTATGCTCAACAAGGAAAGTGACTTATAATTTGGGATACACGAAAAAGGAAAGTAAGCCTATTTTTATAGGACGGAGGGAGTAATGAACAAGCATTCTGAAATATTAGATTTTGTGATCTGATCAAATATTTTATTTTATTTTTCCCTAGAATAACTTGTAAGAAAAAAACAGTTCGTACAAAGAACTAAATATAAAAAGGTTAACATTCATCTGTCATTAATAGGATTCTTTTTCTCTGATCATGATTTCATATTGTTATTGAAATATGCCTGAGCTCAATGAATACAGCCTGCTATTTCTTATGTTGTAATTTCATTAATTGAACTATTATGTTCATTATACATATTTTTAAGAAATCTCAAATCCCAAGAAAAATCATTCTGCAATTTTAGTCCCTGAACATGTTCTAATAAAATAATCTGAAGAATTTTTTACATCATCTAAATCATTATTTACTAGGAACCTCTACTGGGCTGAGCATCCTGTTAGTAATCAACCTAGAATCTTGCTTAGTATTAGTTTCAACCCTGAGAAATTAAAAAACCCTCTGTAATGCATCATATTGTCTAGTAAACCCTTTTCTTACTCCGCAAGTTCATGTGTGGCCTTGAAATTTTTCATTTCTGGAGAATATGTTGCATTTATTAAGCTTACAGTAAGCATCTGACATATTTTGCATTGCAGGGAGTTGCAACGAAGTTGCAAGTTCTGAAGAAAAAATTAGATGGAGGAGAGTTTATTACTCTTGGTGAAATTCGAAATACAGTTCTGGAACTTTCAGCTCCACCCGAGTTGGTACGCCTTTGCTCCATCAATTGTTTTTCTAATAGATACAATTGAATTAGATATCAAGATGGTGGTATTTTTCATACAAGTGATTCTAGTGTCCTAGACAGTTTATAGCAGGATGTATATTACTTGGTTAACCTTATTTCAGGTGAAAAAGCTCAAAGAAAAGATGCAAATTTCTGGCATGCCCTGGCCTGGTGATGAAGGTCCACAGAGATGGGAACAAGCATGGACGGCCATAAAGAAGGTAAGAGTTCACGTGTATAGAAAGTATGATATACTTTCAAGGCAAGTAGCTCTATTTTTTTCTCCATGTATGACTTAACTCCACCTTTGCATGTTTAGCTAAGCTTAAAAAGTTCTCTAATAAGTTTAAAATAATTAATTTTTGTTTGGTCAAAGTTTGTAATAATTTGATGTTAAGGTAAGAGTGACTTTCCAAAATACAACCTTTTTTAAAGGTTATCCACATATGTCTCAGTAAATGGGTTTAAAAATTTAACAGTCGTACTTGTGTCCACGACCATTAAATCGCATTTTATGGATGGACAACTTAACATTGTTCGCATTTTCTTAATTTTCTAGGTTTGGGCTTCTAAGTGGAACGAGAGAGCATATTTCAGCACAAGAAAAGTGAAACTCAATCATGACTCCCTTTGCATGGCCGTCCTTGTTCAAGAAATAATAAATGCTGATTATGCATTTGTTATCCACACTACTAATCCATCTTCTGGGGACGACTCAGAAATATATGCAGAGGTAATTTATATTAAATCCTTGTTTCACTTGAATTTTTGAGTTTATGCTGCATCAAAGATGTCTCCTCATTTCAGAGATTGGTATAAGGTAATCTGTGTCTATTCATGTACTGCCTGCACTATGCCTCGCAGAAGCTTATTGAGTCTGATACATTGTGATGGCTGGTGAGGTGATGTGTTAAAATTGAAAATTGAGAGATTTAAAACAATCGATAGCTGGGCTTGAAAGATTTCAGTATAAATTGATAGTTCAGATCAGAGAAAGCAATTATACATCTTTCTTCTGAATAGGTGGTCAAGGGCCTGGGAGAAACATTGGTGGGAGCTTATCCAGGTCGTGCTTTGAGTTTCATTTCCAAGAAAAACAACCTCGACTCTCCTCAGGTAAATCAAAGATTTTGGTCTCATACTTGAAGCTACTCTAGAAAAAATTCAACTAATAGTTATTAAGGTGAAAACAATCTTGCTTCCTGTTTTGTCTTAACATTATGAAGTTACATATGGTGAAATTGTTACAATTTTATTGCTGTATGACCAGTGATTTATTGACTGTCAAATGTGTAAATTGTCCTCGTATGGCTGAAAACTTTCAGGTTTTGGGTTACCCCAGCAAACCCATTGGCCTTTTCATAAGACGGTCAATAATTTTCCGATCAGATTCCAATGGTGAAGATCTTGAAGGTTATGCTGGTGCAGGACTTTACGATAGGTGACTTACAAAAGATTGAGAAATTTTCCAATTAACTGCATCTGTTAGCTGTGACAACTGATTTATATACACTTCACACAGTTTTTCAGCTGCGTTCATCTACTTCGGCTTTTCAATTATGATTGTTTTTCTTCACCTGTATGAAGTTTCTCTCTCTAATGCAGTGTGCCTATGGATGAAGAGGAGAAAGTTGTGCTCGATTACTCATCTGATCCACTGATCGTTGACTTTAATTTCCGTCAAAAAATCCTATCTGGCATTGCACGTGCTGGAAATGCTATTGAGCAGCTATATGGATCTGCCCAAGATATTGAAGGTGTCGTGAAGGACGGAGAAATCTATGTTGTCCAAACACGACCTCAGATGTGATCGTGTTTCTATTCAATTAGTATCTATAATAAGCAGGTTGAACTTCGCCGGGATGCAAAAATCCCCAACATATATAGGTGAATATTGTTAACCAATTTCATTACAAGAGACCTACAAGTTGCAAGGCATGGGTATATTATCAATAATGTTGTAGTAAATAATGGGTTTGCTGAATAATCATGTTCACTATATTATTACAAATATAAAAGTTCTTGTATGATTTGGCAAGAATTTTTTATACTGTTTAGTGAGGTAGATGGTATAGTATTGGACAGTATGAAAGGATTACATGAAAGAACAAAAAGTAGTAAAATTCAGCACTCGATACCAAATATATTGGTTGAATGTTCTCAAATTATTAATATAATTTTTACATGGTACCAACTTCATATCGTCCCAGTTACTATTACACACAATCACGCACAAAGGAGCAACAGGTAACTACTAACATCCGTCGATTTCCAACTCTGACACGTTCATCCACACTTCATTTAATCGTCCCGAAAGATGAAAAGAAGCGTTGTATTGAGCAATGGTAAAGGAAGATTTGTCTTTCAAACCGGTCGACTTTCCAGCCAATAATTTACGTAAACTTGTTAAAAAAGCTTCAATTTCGCTACGGACATTTTCATCCTTTGCAAACCCAGAAAATTTCCTTACTGCTATGCATTGTGTTCTCCATTTTTCAACCTGCAGATTTAATGAAGATGAGGGCAGTGGAGGAGCAGCCTCATATTTTTCTGGGACATAGAATTTCACATAGTAATCAATTCCATTTTCTGTTTGGTCGATGTTGTTTAGGACAGGAGATGTCATCATAAACTTGATGGAGTCAAGGTTTGCACCATGAATGTATTGATACAACCTGTGATGAAAGCCAAAACATAGTACAATTCATAGTTTTAAGGAGCAAGAAAACAAAGAACGAGGATGATAAGTTAACATTATGTTTAGTACTTTGTATAATACCGTACTATCAAGCCGACTTTGTTAAACAGTCATTAGTCCATGCTTAGTAGATAGCATAGACATGATATGATAGTACAATTGACAAGATTTTAGTTTTTTTTTTTTAATTGACCAGTATTATAGAGTTGACGCTAATGAAGAAAGAGATATTGAGATAAAGAGGAAGACCTGTGGAAGCCCGACTCCGTGGAATTCTCGAAAGACGTTCCGGCACCTCGGACTGGTGCAGAAATCCATGATGATTCGCTGTATATTCTGACCTCAATATCAGGCCATGAGTGCAGGATCTTGTACTGTGGAGACTCTATAGCAAAAGTGAATGCAAGTAGGCCAATGCAATGTGCCACCACAAGGCAGAGCCACTGCCATTTCTTGCTTTCCATGGCCTTAAGTGCTTAAGATTTTTGTTGCCAAAAAAATGCGTGTTTATGTCGTATCAACCCTTTACCCTCTTTATATAGTGATGAGGAAATATGAGGACCCAAAGAATTAAGAGAAAGTGAAAATATGATTATTTAGGGACTTTCGTTCTTTATTCAATCTTTGATAATTTTTTGTACTCTTTAAATATGGACAAGTTATTGCGTGTTTTAGTTCGAGCTTCTACTAAAAACATGTTGGTCAATAAGATTTTTTTGAAATTAATTGAAGGACTAAAAATCACTTCAATTGAGAGTCGAGTAATAGAGTTGATGAATTACTTCAAAGGGAGGCATTAGAGAAATGGTATACGGGAGCATGCTTGCGATGTATGATGTTTTGAAAAACACTATTGTAGGTCTATTTCAAAAATTTTAAGAGTTCAACACTCGTGTTCTTTTATGTTCCAAAGTTCCCTTGTCGAATAAGTTATGGGAAAATTGGCGGATTATATTCACACCACATTTTCTAAAGATGCATCACGTTTTAATTGTAGTAAAGGTTCCTGACCTTTATTCATTGTTATATTCATTGTAGTGTGTGTGTGTGTGTGAAAATTTAGGTTTAAGAATTGAACAGGAAACTCTTCCTTCACACAAATGGGGAAATTGAAAATAAAAAGATAATGGCAAACATGCGAAGCAGATTCTCATGTTTTCGATAAGTTAATTAATCAATCATGACCATAAAATACAAGTGCTCTCTCCTAACCCACTTGGAGCATGATTGACTAAACAAAACTTGTACTATTATTTTTTCAAGAAAATTTAAAAATTAGTAAGGGTCCATTTGATGTAAAATTTTTAGCATAAATTATATAAAAAAAAAAGTGATATTTAAGAAAACGTATTGTTAAAAATGGAAAAAAAATTATGAATGCACATGCAAAATTATTTTATTAAAAGAATATGTTATTGTAGTAGCATTTTCTCCTATTTTTATTTTCCGACACTCTTTGAGTTTTATACTATATTATTTAGAATATTAAAGTAATATTATCATAGCAACAAAAATGCAATGAAATTGGCATTAAAGGTTTAAATGCTTATATTTGTTTTTCTTACCTTTTTGTTGTAAATGGCTTATATCAACTTTAATTTGTTCATTTTTAAATGAGAACGCAATTTCCACAAAATTATGATTAATATGAGATTTTTGTCTAAATTAATATTAAGAAAAATACAAACAAGAAAGTAACAATTTTGCACAAGTATTCGAGGATATTTGTAATAAGAAAGAGTGTCTATAGTTGTTCATAAAGTTTAGAAGACGATTCCTTAATGTACTCTAAAGAAAGTATGTTCTTAAAATATCAATACCTATCGTTTATACAAAAATGTTGTTCGAGTAAAAGCGAGAAACCTAGTACAAACTCTAAAAATGAAAGGAAAAGAAGAGGAAAGAAACATAATATCACTTAAAAGAGAATTAATTGTTTGAAATTAAAATAAATTATCCTAGATTAGTGGATGACACATTTTAAGATTAAAGTGGATTTTAAGCAAAGTTTGTTGGATGCTTTCTCTTTAACAAAGTGTCATTAAATCATGCTTCTACATTTCTGCCCATGGTTAGATTGATTTAAATATTAAATTTCCTTAAATCTATCTATTAACATATCAAGAATGTCTTTTACCGGCTTTGATATTGATGTCTTACGTAAGAATTAATTTCAATTTTATTGATGACTATAAATAAGTAAAGGAAGAAAACAAGAATGTGATTACCACTTTTAAAAATCTATTGAAGTCCGGTGACCTAGCAGCCACGCGTTCTTTCACCTTTCAGCAGGACATACGGACTCATGCATTATTGATCGTATTCGAAGAAAATCATTCTTCTTCAACCGTATTTGGAGAAAACAAACAAAATGCGTAATGTACAATCTTATCCATTGATCAAACTGCTTGGCACTCGTACTCAAGCAATACCAAATTCATTCATACTCCAAAAAGGGGAGAACAAGAAAAAATTAATGCCCTTTGTTTGGGCTTCACTTTAATAAGTTTCTGGGAAAAAATGTATTTTAGAATAATAATTATTTGAAGAATGTGTGGTTAAAAAGTAAGAATTTTTTTTTAAATTTACGTATATTATTATTTTATTGAATAATGTGTGATTGAAAATAAAGAAAGCGAAAAACGCATTAAATTAAAATGGAGCCCAAATAGGGGCAATAGGTCCGCAAGTTATTATTATGTCATGAAAAATATGGATGCAAAATGAAATAAAAATGCGATATACCCTGCTCAAATTGTGGTCTATATCAACAACCATCATGCTAAAAATGTGGATTTCTCGTCCTGTTGATGCAAGGTCTCGAAGTTTCTAAAACCATCGTGTCTAATGTCCTCTGCAATCTCCAGGCAGTCGTTCATGGAGTTTGTCGTCTCTTTGGCCTTGTTCACAGCATAACTCTCTAATTCTTGAACGGAAATGCTCTCAAGGTCTCTCTTTCCCTGTCACTTGTTATATATTCTGTTTGTTTCAGGAGGAGTATGAGGATGAACACGGGCGGATCTAGGAATATTGTCTAGTGCGGGCCAAATTTAATCAAGGTTGGACTTTGATTTTCGACCATGAATTTAGTAATGGTAAAATATAAAAAAAATATTATGACAACACTAAAAATGATATAGTTTATAAGTTACATTTGTTCCTTGCGAATTTTCATACTTTGATATGTCTATATCTTGTTTTGTTTGAATATTCTTGAAATTCATTGTCCAAACTCCAAAGAAAACAAAGAGGCTAGGAATGTAGAAGGGTTTCGATGAAAAGGAAAAGTGAAACTTCTATATTTTACGAAAACATATTCATATTAAATGAATTTAAAGGAGCCTTTCTAAAAAAAATTCAAATTTCTTTTGTGTTTTGTTGAAATTTAGATAACTTTAATCTTCGATTACTATCATTTTGGTTGCAGCTAAGTTATATTACTCACCGTTTATCGAATGAAAAAATTATTTTTTCTTCTATTTTCTCTCATTTTACGTATAATTGTCAATCCGTCTAAAAACTTAAATTAGAAATAGAACACATTTGAATTTAGTGTTGATCACACTCCTTCACGTGCATATCATATTTATCCTTTTATTAAATGTGACGTGTTTAAGATTCTCATAAATCGATCATAGTAAAAATTAACTAAAGATCTCTATCACAATCCAACACTATATAAAGTTACTTATATAACCTTAATAAATTGTAAACACACAACCATTTAGTTCATGTTTAAATATCATTTTTTAGAAAGAATTTTGTAAAAATTGATTTTTTATTTTAAAGGACATCTTTCTATATATAAAAAGTGTCTATTTAACGGAATTTGTGGTTTTAACGGATTATGTAACTGAATTTCTTGTTTTAAACAGGCAGCTGCACCTTCCTTCAATATTTTTATCATAACTTTGTATTCCGATTTTCGATTGAGGCAATTCAAAATGCGTTGGAAAGCTAACCCATCTGGCTATAACTTTGATTCAGACATCATTCTCCAATTCGATCACTTTCTATGCCAAACATATGTCTCAATATAACGGATTATGTAACGAAATTTTTTGTTTTAAACAGGCAGCTGCACCTT